ACCCCCCCCCCCCCCCCCCAACTCTGCATCCCTTTTTTTACATACGTCAGTCCCATTGATTAGCTGTCCCTTTCAACCTCAATATGACTGAACCTGTACGACTCCCTTTATACCCATATTTACCAATTAATGTAGTTTTTTTCGTGCAAAGGTAACTAAATTAATTAATTAAGAAACAAACAAACAAACAAACAAGGAAACAAAGAAACAAAGAGAGAAAGAAAGAAAGAAATATGATTTTAACATCCTTGGTACTTGTTTATTGTTTTATGTACGATAATGCTACAAACATTGGACATGGGCTGCTAACCCTGTGACTGTATACGGTCACCCAGGTGATGTCCAACTGTTTTTAAAGTTAGCCCTGACAACATAATATTATGCTCTTTTAAAGGAGTTCTCACCTCTGTGGGAGGAGGGGCTGTCTGTTATGTCTGTTTGTTTGTTTTTAGTTTGCTTATCATAAATTAGATATTACTTTGATCCACCTATATAATTCAAGGCTGTCTTTTCTCTTTATTTTAGAAGTTAAAAAAATAGGAGAATAGAAAAGATTTACCTTGACTTTGTCGTTTTGATTATTTGTTTTGTTATAGCTGTTCATGTTGTTGTTGCTGTTGATATTGCTGTTCTTGTTCTTGTTACTGTTCTTCTTCTTAATAGACGCTGTCATTACTTACAAATCTATGTTATAAGGAAGGGTATGTGCTACAAACGTGAAACATAATATTATTATAACTTCGCATTAACCAACAGGACGTACGGTGGCTTGGTGGATCGGGTGCTTGTATTTCGTTCCATTATTGTGGAGTACAACTACGACTACATCTTCGACATGGTCTTCCATCAAAACGGAGCTGTTGAGTTGAAGACATACGCCACTGGCTACCTCATGACACAGAACTATTTTCCTGATGAGGCCCCTTTCGGGTTCAAGTAAGGAAATTCTTATAGTGTTACAACAGTGGGGATTTTTGTTGTTTGCTGTTTTGGTTGTTCATGCTTGCTTGGCGTTGTTGATAAGTTAACAGAATTGTTAGCTAACTAGTGAGCTGAACTTAGAGAGGTAATTAATTAATAATAGACTGATGTCAGAGGTAACTAATAGAGATTTCGACTTCATAGTGACGTCATAGTATATTGAGTTGGCGGATGAGGAAAGTAAAAATTAGATGACAGTTGAGGTAGCTTATTGATGAGTTGACATTGACGACAGAAGTAGCTTAATGATGAGTTGACGAGACGGCTGATAGCTTACTAATGAGCTGATGAGAGAGATGGCGTATTAAAATGAGTTAACTCGAGAGATAGCTTATTAATGAGTTGATGAGAAAGGTAGCTTATTGTTGAGTTGACATTGACGAGAGAGGTAGCTTATTAATGGGTTGAAGGAAAAATAACCTATCAATGAGATAACTACAGATGTAATGTACCTGCGAGTTGACAATAGCAATAATTTTAGGATGGGTTTGGATTCAGTTTTACACTTATGAATGGAATTATAAGTACATCTACATTAATATTTTAATAACGTACAGCCTCTGGATCTCATAATGTTCGTCTCATGTTCTTTGCTATTACAAACTTTATTTCTAATGACATAATATCGTCACCTTAGAATTACAAGGTTCTCTTTGAAATTTTTGGCCTCTTTGAGCTACTAAGACCATGAGGTCGGAAACAAAATGTTCTGTCTGCTTTATCAAAAGCGTAGGGTTATCCGGAGTCGTTATCGAGTTATTCAAAGAACTGTACTCGAAAAAGCTTGACATATTGTAAAACTCGGAATTTTTTTCGTAATGTTTTTTTTTTTTCAAAACAAGGTACTGAGCAGATAGAACTTTGTAATTCTGGGGGAGCTATGTGTTATCTCATTGGGCTTTTCAACATAGGTTTCCAATAACTGTTTACATATTAATGTCAACAATAGTCGAAGCGACCTTTTCAAGACTTATCTCGTACATTTTGACAGTCTAGGTGCGGACATGAAACGCTAAAATGTCTTTTATCCCCAGAATCACCGACAGTATTGTAGGTTCAATACACCACCACATATTCAACTTTAAAGTTGACCTGGATATCCAAGGGCAATCCAACAGCTATAAGACATTAGATTTCCAACTGAACAATCAGACATGGCCTTGGCTTGTCGGGACAGGTGGTCCATCTATACAGCAACTTTCTTTTAAGCAACATTTGAGGAGGACTGAAAAGGAGGCTTTACTCAAATACAACTTCTCACAGCCAAAGTACTACATTGTATCAAATGACGAGAAAGTGAACAAGCAAGGACTTCAACATGCATACAGGTAAGACAGTGGCCTTAAAAGCTCAACGTAGTTTAACTCAAATTTTCATGTTTAAAATTGTGTGGGCACTAAAATATATCACAGTATTCAAAATGTTTTTCGGGTTGTTGTTGTTTTTTTGTTTTTGTTTTTGTTTTTGTTTTTTTTTTGTTTTTTTGTTTTTTTGGGGGGTTGTTTTGTTCCACACAGTATAAGGTCTATGTAATATGTCGGTCTGCCTAATTGTCAGGAAAAAAAAAACCTGAGCAAAACATTAAGATATTTCTAACTCAAAAAGATTTGTGATTGGATTCCTTTAAAATGATGCCAAAATCTGTACAGCAATTTTCATGTCTTGACAGTGTTTCCTATGTGGTTCTAGGGACGTACCGTGGGATAACAATCTCAACTTTCCTATCCTCTACTTCTTTTTGTCATGTCATAATCCGATTGCATAATGACAGTGAAGTTACACATAAGGTGTGGTGGGAAATGAAAAACAGTGAAAAACAGTTTACAGTAAATCGAAAAGGGGTTGGGGGTGGGGTGGTTGAGATAAGTGCGTGGACGAAGTTAAAGATTCTTACTCAGCCTTAGGTACCCTCCTCCCTCCCCTCCCTAAAAAAAACTAATATTTTAGCTCCCTGTTACTTTCACATTATTTAGCAAACATTTTTAAAATATTTAAACCATTTATACCTATACGTACAGAATGCTGCCTCTATCAAGATGAGTCAATTGTTTAGTATGGAGGATGGTAGTACTCTCATTACCCGCCTAGTTCGGCGATTTTTAACTCAACATGATTTGATTATTCTCTTACGGTTTCTTTTGCAATCTCTGCGTGGGATTACGAGACAGATCAGTGTTTTTCTAACCTCTTTGATTAATTATGTTTAGCCTTTAATACAGACGAGCAGCCGAATGCAGGAACAACAATTCATGGAAATGTGCGTAGTCTCCTTTTTTCTCGCTGTTACCTCCCTTGACTGTTGTTTTATTTAGCATAATATTATTTAGCATTCACAAACGAGCTCGCCTTGATCATTGTGTAGTAACGGCGGGGGGGGGGGGGGTTCCAGTACTCAGATTAATTAATTATCACAGCTTGCCACGGGAAAATCTTCTTTATCTTCTTCTAAAATAATATGGAGCAGTTCGTACTTTTCTTTTACTTATTTGGGAATTTTAAGGGCGCATACTCACCAAACAGTTTAAATACTGGACGTCTGTTTTGTCCTTTAATTTTGATTCATTTTGTTGTTGTTTTTGTTTTGCCTTTCATTTGACTACGTTCACATCAGTTTTCTTTCTAGGAGTGAAGCGCACGATTTTTTCAAACTTTTTTTTTCTCCAAAGAATCGACGTAAAAGGTTTCTCCAAGCAGATTCTGCCCGACGATTCACCAGTACTCAACAGTCGACGATGGTCAGCCTATCAGTTGATGGTCACTCGGCGAAAGGAACAGGAGGAGAGCAGTAGTTCCATCTTCTCCATGTTTGACGGCGCTGACCCTGTGGTGGACATCAGCCGGTACTGGGGCGATGATGAGGATATCACACAACAGGTGCGCTGGGACGTTTTTCATGAGCGAAGAGAAGAGAAGATGAGAGGAGAGGAGAGGAGAGGGGAGAAGAGATTAGATTAAATGAGATGAGATGAGATGAGATATGATGAGATGAAATAAGACAATACGTTATTGTTGGGTTGGAAATGTTTTGTGGCTTAACTTGAATGGTAAAAACACGTGCAGGTATCTACAGAGTTTTATATTTGTCTATTACTTTCATTCTTCAAAAAATCCAGTATGAAGAGAAAAACAAACGCTGACTATGATGCAATTGGTCACATCCAATGCATATCTCAAACCACTTGCTAGAATTTGTCATAGATTCTTTAAAATCTAAAAATATAAATATATAAATATACATGTATTAAATATAAATATATTATAACATGAAAGAGAGTACCTACTCCCTGCTCTTTTTCATGATTGTTCTGACAATGATGGAATGATGGTATTATAAACTATCTGAGATAACCGAATCAGCAGGCTAAGGAAAAGTGTTATAAATTTAGCACGTTTGGGTTCTTCACGTTTTCCTGATACACGAACAAGAGTGGTTTACTAAACATTTCATTTGAAAACATACCCTAACGATTTGTTACTTTACAACATAAAATGAATGTTGCATTGCGATCAGGGCAAAATTCCTCAAAATGCAAACGGTTAACCCAGTGTAAAAAGCAGACTTAAGAAGGCATAAGGAGTCTTAGTAGGTGAAAGCTGGGAACTCATACAGCTGTTCGTGGCATTGTGTGTCTGAAGATTGTGCCTTGTGACCTGCTTTTAATCACTACGAGTTATATTATACTCTTGATAAGCTCCAGCGTTAGATTGAGGTGATAGATTTATAGTCCACGAAGAAAAATATAATCTGTTAGTTTATAGTACCGGTATATCATGTTGTGTTCTTTTTCTGTTTGTTGTGTCACGGTTACCCGCCACACGCACTAGAAATAAGCTCAGTTTCCTGTTTTGTTTTTGTTGGTTTTATTGGAGGGTGTTTTTTTTGTTTAGAGCTTTAATTTACCGAGCAACTTCTCCTGAGACTTCGTTTCCCTTGCAACCTGGGTTGGCTCTTACAGGAAAGTCGAAGCAGCCCGCCTCCTAAAGTACGCCAATAGTGTCGACGGGGGCATTAAACTTCTACAATAACATTTTTCTTCACTCTTCCAATTAGAGTTACGTTTTCCCTTTCTACAGGACCTAGTGTTGTGGGTGTCGGTGGGCATGCATCATATCCCACACACAGAGGACCTCCCCAACACTCCAACAGTGGGCACAGAGGCCACAGTCTCACTTCTCCCTTACAACTTCTTCAACGAGTGCCCATCAGTTGGTTCCCGAGATTCGGTTCGCGTCGATGGAAAAGAAACGGGACTTCAGATCCAAAATTACGGATTACCGGCCACATCCAAAGATTCGTGTCTACCTTTTGAGTATAACTACAGTTCTCTAATTCAGGACAAGTCGAATCTGTTTCCTTGAGTGATGAATCGTTTCATCTGTTGTGTGTGTGCAAGGAGTGCGCTTGCTGAAACACAAAAGCATATTTATTATCTGTGAGAAAGACAAAAAGAACTAAGCAAGACGAAGGGAGAGAATGGGAGATTGAGAGAAGAAACTGACTGGCGACAAAGATAGTGTATAATGTGTGTGGTATATTTTGATTTATAATATACTCCACAGACCACATAATAATACATGTATTATGTGTGTGTTTGTTTGTGTGTGTGTGTGTGTATGTGTGTGTGTGTGTGTGTGTGTGTGTGTGTGTGTGTGTGTGTGTGTGTGTGTGTATGTAGATGCCATTCTGTATACCTGTCTATATCTGTTTGCCAGAAAGAGCAAAAGTGTTTTTGACACAATCTGCAATTTTAAAAATTATGTTTTGTTTTCTTATGTTTGCCATTGTTTACGCTTACTCTTTCACTCTTTTGCAAATGTAAATCAATCAGTGGCGTCGGTAGCCTCGTGTTTAGACTACTAGCTTCATAAACGTAAAATTGCGGGTTCGAAACTCAACTCGATCCGATGTTGTGTCCTAGGAATAGCAGTTGACACGAATTAATTATCAAATTGACTCAGTCCTTTCGAAGAGGGACGTTACATTTGCATTAAACTTTTACACTTGAGCATTATTTCGTGCCTCAAAATAATAATTATAATGATGTTGCTCTGTTGGTAATGAATGAGGAAGTCTGGGTGAGGGCAGACTTTGTTGTACATTCAGATCCGCATGCTAGCTCCAGAGATATCGCGCATGAAGAAGCGCCTAGAGCCGTTATGGAGTATAATAGGCGCTATGAAAGTGATCTTTCTTCTTCTTCTTCTTCTTCTTCTTATCATTATTATTATTATTATTATTATTATTATTATTATTATTATTATTATTGTTATTATTACTATTATTATCATTAAAGATCTCCCCTGTTATTAGCTGCTCAACACAACCGTTGAACGTCCTACTCTATACGCTGTTCTTCCGTATCCGATGTGTGTGTTTGAACAATGTGAAGCTTGGCTGAGATCTGCAGTTCACGTCTTTCATACTGCAATATCTATCTAGTTCTTGGTGCATAAATACTGTATATTGCAAAAAGAGTAATACTGTATCTCGAGAAAAACAATACAATGTACTAAAAGACTGAACGCAAGATAAGTTGTTTGTTTATTTATTGTGTTGAGGCTTTTTATACAAACTTTTTATGATTTTCATAAGTTCGCAAGTCTCTTGAAGCTTCAGTATTTTATGAATAGTTATGTTGTATGTTAGAGGCCTGAAATATGTATTTTCAATACGCATACGAGTATTCTAAACGCAACGTACGACCCCATTTTGATTCTTGCAATGACTGGTCTATAACATGGGTCACTCTTTGTTTTGAAAAATAAATATTATAAGATTCCCATCAACGCTGGTGGTAACATTTAAATATTATCATTATTTCTTTCATTTTATAATGTTCACCCTCCAATGGACAAAATTTAGAGCGTTTTTGGAGGCAGACTGCTTAAAGTTCACCTGTCAAGACCCGCCTCTGAAGAGTGGGATACAACATTTCTGTAAACAGACAGACAGACGCTCCACAAAATTTCCCCACTCAGGAATCGATCTCTTGTTTTCTGTGAGCCATGGTAAAGAGCCTGACAGTGACACTGTGTATAAAGATATAAAATGTTAAGTTAAATGTGTAAACAAATGAATGCGTTTTGTGGTTGAGCGGGACATCTGGTATACAATCTTTGTTAGCTTGCTAATGGGTGTCAGAAAAGCATAGCTTAAGAAAAGCTGCTTGTTGCAAGAACTGTTAGTTTTTCTATTAAATCAAAAGCATTCTCTTTTTTAGGTGCTGCACATGCATGCGTAATACTTTTTTCTACCAAGATGATTGGTTCATCTCTATTTTTTATATTTAACTTTTTTTCGGGGAAGGGGGAGGGTGACTCACATCCGTACTTGTCTGGACCATCTGACATGCTTGCTTGATTACTTGCTTGCTTGCTTGATTGATTGATTGAATGATTGGTTGATTGATTGGTTGGTTGATTGATTGAAACTAGTTGTTCGTCAACTAATTGACTGGTTGCTTGCTGCTTCTGCAGCAGGTAGTCGTTGATCTCTTGGCAAATTGTTTTGATTTTTTCAATTTGTTACTCAGATTGGTAAACTGTAACGGTTTGGAATTCCAAAGACGGACAGGAGATATGCAAGTGTACCTCCTCCTCCCTACATACACACAAGTGCCCATACATGAACATGCAGAAGAATACACGCGTGCACAATCAACCGAAAGACGCAATGCGTGGAGACAGACAGAGAGAGAGAGAGAGAGAGAGAGAGAGAGAAGAGAGAAGAGAGAAGAGAGTGAGACAGACAGCATGGGAATGCTGATAAATACTCAGAGACGACCAACAAATAACAGATACAGATAAGTGCAATTAACACATTCAAAAAAGAAGTCGATATAAAAGAACGGGAACTTTTCATGATTTAAACATTTAATTTTGAGAGTTATTTGAAACAGCCATTGTTCTTCCTGTTTATCAGTCGTTCATCTCTGTGCTTTTGGCAGACTTTGTACTCTTCGTTAGGTTGGGGGGCATCATTGGTAGGTCCTCCTCCTTTACTTTCCCTCTGTCGTTTCTGTATGTCTGTTTAACTTTTTCTCCAGCACCGAATGACCGTTTATGTGTCAATGTGTTTCTTCTTAATCAAACAAAAACCGAAACAAACAAATCTCGTACTCTTAAAAGAGGTGCATGCACTCTGTGTTCGAACTATGAAATCCTTTTCCCATTTTTGAAAAAAGGTCAAGAACCAAACTCCCCATTGTATTTCTTTCTTTTCCCCCAGTAGTTCCTTGTGCCAGCGTATCCGGGTTGTTCATTTTCTTTTTTTCAGACAGGGTAGCTACTGGGCCATTCGGTCGAGCCCATAGCTGTAAAGTGTTTTGCTGTGGAGGTCGTTTGGTTCACACCTCAGGATGTATCCGCTTTGTTTTTGTATCTCTATTTCTGAACTTCTTCTCACTGACCTGGGAGTTAAATGCACCTAATGCACTATGCTTCTTTATGCGCGTGGGTCCCAAGAGCAAAGTGTGGGTGGTGCGTGCGTGTTTGTTTGTGTGTGTGTGTGAGTGTGCGTGTGCGTGTGTGTGTGCGTGTGTGTGCGTGCGTGCGTGCGTGCATGTTTGTGTGTGTGTGTGTGTGTGTGTGTGTGTGTGTGTGTATGTGCGTTCATGTGTGCGTGAAGGAGCGTCTATGAAACATTAAGTCTTTGCATGTCATTATAATTTAGTCGGCGTATGCATACATGCCCGTCTTCTTGTTTGCTCACCATCATGTATCTGTAAGTTCGTGTAGGAAATGTATGTATGCGTATGTGTGTGTGTG